CTTCAGGTGTCTGGGGAAAGACCTGTAAACATAAATCAAATGTGTCATTGTGTATCTTGGCCTCTGCCTGCATCTCCCTCTCCTCTTGCTGGGGCATTCCCCACCTACAAGGTGTTCTGATCTAGAAGGAAGGAAGAAGTCCTCTTTCAATGTGTCTTGCTCTCCTGGCACCTGGAGCCACTGCTAGTGCAGATGGGGACTAACACCTGCTCACCCCCAGAGCGATAAAGGTATTCCATGGCAGCAGGACCCAGCAGGCCACAGCTCATCATAAGCCTTTCACTCAGATTTGCCTGAGGACCACTGCCTACCACCTGGGTGGGGCGGTTCACTGCATTTTCTATATTTCAGGGACTCCCTTTATAATTCCAAACTGGGTTCTGATAGTTCTAGTTCAACTCCCTGCCTGTCTTCTTCAAGTTCAGCCCTATTCACTTCAGCCTATGTCTCTGAAGTTCAAGTATATGTATGTATATACATCTGTCTGCACAGCCCTGATTGACAAGTACAATGAAAATGTCTCATTCCTGTCTGGTTTGCATTTCATTACATTGGGCAACAATATGCCTTGGATTTCAGAGGACAAAGGCAAAAAAAATGAAAAGGGGGGGTTGATTAACAATATCTATTTGTTTATTCTCGATTGAATTTTAAAGGTATTTAGGGCTTATAAAATATGTGTCAAATGATAGGACCATAGTGAAAATTCTGATGTGGCCAATAAAATCTGGAGCTGTGTGATTTTTACACTCGCCAACCTGCAGACACACTCTGTTGGCGAGTGTGTCAGCAGGTCCTGGAAATCGATAGTTCAGCTTGGCCCCTGATGCCAATTAAGGGCTTTATCTTAGCATAAAAATAAAGAGAAGTTAAAAATGCATTCTTTTCCCAGCTTTCTTTCCCCTTCATTTTTTATTGCCACTTGCAGTTTTTCTTTTAAAAAGATCTGGGACTCTGAAGAGAGGGTGGGGATTTATGTAAAGAAAGTGTCATTTACCAGGAAAAAAGGCGAATAATGGTGAGTTTCAAGGACATGTTGCAATGAGAAACACTTTGTGCTCCACTAGGGAGAGACAGGGGCACCAAATTCAGCGTCTTGGAATAATTCCCTTCCTGGATTCAAAGATTCATTTATTGAAATAAATCAGGAAGCCTTGGCAGAACGGAAATCCGCTTGCTGGGTTTAAAGGGTCTTTAAAATGTTGCGAGTGTTAGATTGCAAGTCTTTTCTAAATACAAAACAGAAGAAAAGACCGCAGCGTTTCCCTTGGACTTAAGGAAATTACTAGGTCACTGAATCAGGATAATTTCATGTCCACCACATAAAATGTGTTTAGAAAGAAATGCTGCATGATAACACAATGTGCTGTATATGTTCTATTTTTTTGGAGGCTCGACGGAAGAGAAAAGTGCTGTGGAGTTGGGCTCTGGGTTGTACGAAGAACCCGGTACTACCCTACTGCCCCTCAGGACGTTCTGTTTCCCTACTGCTTCTTCAAGATGGATCCTAAAAATCGGGCTCAAAAGCTTTGCTGGTTTAGAAGTGATCAGTTTCTCTGATTTTATTTCCTACTTTAGATTTGGGCATAAAAATGAATCTTTTTCCTATTTACCGTTTGAACTCAGTGTGAGGGAAAGGATCCCATTATATTTCCTATCCATGCAAACATGTGAATATTTAGACCGGACCACATACAACTGGGGGACACATAAAAGAGATTTATTGGTTCATTTACGTTGCCTACTACACATGTAAACCCTAGTAAGCCAAAGCTGCTGAGGGAGCCTCAGTTATACAACCACGACGCCTGAGTTAGGGTTGTCCTCCCTCACTAGAGCTGTGACTCCTGTCTCCACCTGAAAAACGAAAACACGAGAGTTGTCTCCATCTCCTCACCTCTGCCTGTGTGTAGGAAAAACTTTTCTCCTCTTAGCTTTCCCTCTTCAGCCACCACTCTGTTCTCAGACTCAGCTCCCCAAAGCGCCCTGTTCCCCGAAGTTGTTCCCAGAGTCTCCTCTTGAAAATCAAGTTTGGGGAGGAGAGAAGCTCTAAGTTATAAGAAAAACTTCGCGCTCCCCCCTCGCCCCCAACAGCAGTGATTTGCTTTGTTGGGGGTGGGGGCTTCGTTTTCATGTGCAGTAACTAGCTTTATCTGGAGGGATTTTGCTTTCTACCCTCTTTTAAGGGTCAGGGGTCCTCCTCCCCAAGTAAGGAAACTCCCACTCAAACCAACTGAAACCGAAGTAGAAATGGCCTACCCCTGCCCTGCTGTTCACAAAGCCCCCAGCCTCGTCCTTTTGCGCGCATCTGGGACCCCTGCGTCCCACACAGCAACAACACCCCCTCAGAACCGCATTCTCGGGATGGGTCCGGCTGTCCCGGGAAGGGCTCCATTGCCCGGGATTTTGGCCTGGCTGAATCGCCTCAGGTCTGCCCCTTAACAAGCATTCAACCCCCCGCCCCCACCTCCCCACTTCTCGGTTGATGATCTAATTGAATTATGCCTTTTTGTTCCAGGGACTACAGAGCACGTGCTGGAGGCAATTAATTATCGGAATGTGGCCGTATCAAAACGGACACTGGGCACCGGGTAGGTCAGCGGCGGCAACTTCCCCCTGCCCTGAGCTCGAGACCCCTTCCCAAATAGGGGCATGATGAGCTCCCTCGTCTGCCCCCCTTCTGAGCCTTTCACCCAGTTGCAATCGCGCAAGGCCCTCGATTCTCGGGGTACCTGGCGGGACTCCCCGGAAACTCTCGCATCAGCGCTGGCTCGGCCAGAGCTCGACAGCCGCCCCTTCCCGGTCCCCCAGTCTCGAGAACCGCTGTCCGCGGGACCAGCTCAGTGAGGAAATCCAAACTTTTTCAAACCAACTACTTGGCCAAGGGCTGTTAGGGTTAGTGGGAGGTGGAGAGAGGTAGAGGGAAAAGAGGAAATAAAGGAGAAAGTGAAAAGAAAGGGAGGGGGGAAGAAAGGCAATCCTCCTTTTTTTGTAAACCTGACTCCAGGGGATTCATTTGCATGATTTAAGCATATTTGTTCTCTGAACACACCAGCGCCCCCCTACCCCCCAAAGAAACCCTCTGCTGAGAGGCACTGAAACCATTCTTGGAGAGCCTATGTTCGGCAGACGCAATAATTTAAGTCAGCAGTGAACTCACCTTCCAACCTGGGGAGAGAGCTCTGGATGTGGAGAGAGAATTGGGGCGAGTTTGATGGGAGGGGGTGAATACGGTAAGATGTGCTACCGGTAGGGTTTTCTCCCAGCAAACTGGCTAAGAAAGAAGGTGAAGTGTTGGCTGGGCCAGGCAGATTGGGGAGCAGGAAGTGAAAGGCTGCAGTTATAAAGCGCTGCTTGAGGCGGTCTCTCCTGGCGCCTCTGAACTTGATCAGATGTTCTGTTTCCTACAGAGAGATGGCGGCCAGGCTCTGAGGCTGCCTCAAGGCGCAGACTTTGGGGCTTGGCCCGGCTAGGGATGTGACAATCACAGCCATCTTTCTCTCTGCCTTTTCTTTCCACTCTCACTCTCCTGCATTCTTTGCAAATGCCTTGCAGGAAAAATGAGTGAATTTATACCCTTGCCTGAACCTGGTCATTATGTCTAGAAAGACCTCGCACCAGACAGAAGGCGGGAGGACTTTCACACGCACCCCTGGAAGTAAATCCTTAAGGGGTAAGCAGTCCCTGAGGTCACTACATGCTTTACCTTCTCCGGGTAGGAGTAGAAGAGAGTAAAGCCTTGGCTGTTCAGAGGAAAGAGAATTCCATGTCACAGTCCCCATTCAGCATCAGCACCCCCCAACACGACTTTTGCATTTGAAAATGTTGAGAATTCAAAGCTGATTAGCCTAGTGATTTGGAAACCACCCTGATACTGTGTGTCTAGTGTATTATGTGTTTAGTGTGTTGTGTGCATGTTTTGTGAACACGGGCTAAAAGTGCTCTTGGCATGTTTTGTATTTGTGGGTGTTTGCTGTTATGTGTATTTGCTCTATTGTGTTTAGTTGTGTGCCTGTGTTTATTGTGTCGTGCGTAGTTTATGTTACTGTGTTGTATGTGTTTACTTTCTTGTGTTGTGTGCGTATTTCATGTGTTGTGTTTGTTTCCTGTGGTGCGCTTGTGTTTACTGTGTTGTGTGCTTGTTTCTTGCTGTGTGCTTGTGTTTACTGCGTTGTATATGTTTGCTGTGTCGTGCCCGGTGTGTAATTCGAGAAGTGGGCAGCGGCGAGTACAGCTGCTGCTCACAAACTAAAGGGTCAACGCTTGGCGCAGACGGAAGTAAGGGAGATGAGCTCTAATTGTAATTTCTTCTCCTTTGGGTCTCGGACAGCTGTCGACAGGTTGGGGGCACAAACGGCGAACTATCTGGGCCTGGGTCCAGGGTCTCGAAGCCATTAGAACTCGCAGTGATTGGGGGTGGACGCAGCGGCTGGGCCGGGAGCGCGAAAATGCTGGGCTCTCCCCAGGATCTGCGCCCTGAAGCTACAGAGGGGACATGTTCTCAAGGTGGTGAGGCAGCGGGGACCTAGGCGGGACTGGACGTTGGGCACCGCGTCTCCTCCGATGGCGCAACAGTGGGACCGATCCTCGCGGGGCAAAGAGTTTCTTTGGCCAAGGCGGGTAACGAGCGCGAGGGGTGGGGGGAGGCCCGCGAGAGGCCCGGCGGCGTCCCGCCGTTTGCCGGCTGGAGCCGGCCCCAGTTCCCCGCAGCCGCTCAAGCCCGGTGGAGCCCACTCGCGGCCGCCCGTCAGCCGCCGCCTCACCTGCCAGGCACCCGGCGGCTGCCCTATCAGCGGGGGTCGCTCGGCCACGGCTGCCATGTTCTCCGCTCCGCGCTGCCAATCAGCCTCGCGGCGGCCAATGGGCGGTCCGGCCGGGGGTCAGGTGACCGCGGGCCAGCTGGCTCCCCATTGGCGCGCGCCGCGCGCCTCCCGCTCGGTTTATGTGCGAGGAGTGAGTGATTGACTTTATCAGTCCAAGGACATTACTCTGGAGGCGAAGAGGCTGGGACTCGCGCGGCGAGCGGCAAGCGGCGAGTACCGAGCCTGCCTACTGCCCGCTGCCCGCCGGCGGGCCGCTAGCCGGTTCCGCCACTAGGCGCAGCCCAGCCCAGAGGCCGGTACCCAGGGAGCCTCCTGGCCCTGCGGTTCTGTGCACTCGGAGAGAGGAGGGGTGCCCGGGACAGGATTGGCAAACTCCGCCCTCCACTTACTATTTTGCTTATTTTTCTTTGTGCGCGCCTGTTAGTTTGTTAAACCAGATCTAGTCCCAGAGTCTTTTCTCCTCCCTCCTCCCCCCCCCAACACCCCCTCCCTGCTCTGTCTTCCCCTCCTCCCTCCTACCCCTCTGCAGGAGACTCTCGCAGTGACGGAAAGTTGCAGCCCCTGGTAGCGCCTTGGGGGTCTCCCGGCAGTGTCCAACCGCCGCCACCCCTTTCCGACTACGGCACTTCGGAGATCTCCTCCTTCGCCGATACCCTCTCTCACTTCGGCCGGATCGCCTGTGCCCAGAACGTCCCACCCATGACGATGCTCCTGGACGGAGGCCCGCAGTTCCCTGGGCTGGGAGTGGGCAGCTTCGGCGCGCCGCGCCACCACGAGATGCCCAACCGTGAGCCGGCAGGCATGGGGCTGAATCCCTTCGGGGACACAACCCACGCCGCCGCCGCAGCCGCCGCCGCTGCCTTCAAGCTGAGCCCTGCCGCGGCGCACGATCTATCTTCAGGCCAGAGCTCGGCTTTCACGCCGCAGGGTTCGGGCTACGCCAACGCCCTGGGCCACCATCACCACCACCACCACCATCATCACCACGCCAGCCAGGTGCCCAGCTACGGCGGCGCTGCCTCTGCCGCCTTCAACTCAACGCGCGACTTTCTGTTCCGCCAGCGCAGCTCCGGGCTCAGTGAGGCGGCCTCGGGTGGCGGGCAGCACGGGCTCTTCGCCGGCTCGGCGAGTAGCCTGCATGCTCCACCTGGCATCCCCGAGCCCCCTGGCTACTTGCTCTTTCCTGGGCTGCATGAGCAGGGCGCTGGGCACCCGTCGCCCACAGGGCACGTGGACAACAACCAGGTCCACCTGGGGCTGCGTGGGGAGCTGTTCGGCCGTGCTGACCCATACCGCCCAGTGGCCAGCCCGCGCACGGACCCCTACGCGGCCGGCGCGCAGTTCCCTAACTACAGCCCCATGAACATGAACATGGGCGTGAACGTGGCGGCCCACCACGGGCCCGGCGCCTTCTTCCGTTATATGCGGCAGCCCATCAAGCAGGAGCTGTCGTGCAAGTGGATCGACGAGGCTCAGCTGAGCCGGCCCAAGAAAAGCTGCGACCGGACCTTCAGCACCATGCATGAGCTGGTGACACATGTCACTATGGAGCATGTGGGGGGCCCGGAGCAGAACAACCACGTCTGCTACTGGGAGGAGTGCCCCCGGGAGGGCAAGTCTTTCAAGGCGAAGTACAAACTGGTCAACCACATCCGAGTGCACACGGGCGAGAAGCCCTTCCCATGCCCCTTCCCGGGCTGCGGGAAGATCTTTGCCCGTTCTGAGAACCTCAAGATCCACAAGAGAACCCACACAGGTAAGGGAAAAAGCAGGCGGGCGTGGGTTCCACTGGCGATACCCCGTCACGCAACGGACTTAACAGCGCGAGGGAGAGAGGTGGCGGCCAGGGAAAGGGGCGACGCCCCGCAACGGCCGCTCGAAAAAGAAGCGCTGTCAGTGACCCTCCACCCCTAGCCCTCCCCGTCCCGTGGCGCCTTTGCCGAGTTCTAACTTCCCGGGCAGACTGCTCTGCGGTCTCAGGAACTAATTGGGACCTTCTCGCGCCCAGGAACAAACTGGCGCCGCCTCTTTTTGTCTCCCTTTCTGGGTTACGGTGAAGGGACTCCGAATGTGTTGAGAGCATATTGCTTACAAGCGACTTAGCTCTCGGCACACATTCGTGGAAGGCAACCATAGAAATGCTAATGAAAACTAACTTTCGGTTACTTCCGCTCTTTTTTACACTTGATTGGCACATCTCCTAATTAAATGACTGATACTTTTGTCAAACTATTTTTATTTGGAGTTCCAGGTTCAATTCAGTCCTCCGGGAGGAAAGCTAAAGCAGTTTCGTGGGTTGTTCATAACATCTTGTAAAACTATCTGGAGTCCCCTGGATATATATATATATATATATATATATATATATATATATATATTCCCCCCCCAAACATTAAGTACGACTACCCAGGCTTTTTAATACCGGGCTTAGCCAAACCACTGCATTTGAAAGAGGCAAATTAAAAGGTACAAAGAGGCTGAACGGGATTGTCCTGTCCGGGGCCCATTGTCCCGCCGGGCTCGGTTACATCGCCGAGGTGGTGGCGGAACGTGGCCGCGCATTGGGAGCCCTGGGTCGGGTGGGGTGGAAACACAACTTAGGGGAAACTTCGGAGGAGCCAGGGGCTTTCCCTCCTTGCAAGAACAAAGACGTGGTCAGGTTCTGGGCCTGCCCTGCCCCACCCCCGCCCCGACCACCACTCCCAAATCTAGCGGGCTCAACCTACGCTCTTCATTTCTCTCCGGGGAAAATAGATTCTCAACAGCAGCCCCCAGTCGGCGCTCCCTCTCCGGGAAGACCGCCGGGAGCTCAGTCTCCTGCTTCTTGCCTCTGGGAAACTCCGGCGCTGACCGTATTTTACCCCCTTTGGGTTTTTGCCTTTTGCAGGTGAGAAACCTTTCAAATGTGAATTTGAAGGCTGTGACAGACGCTTTGCCAACAGCAGCGACCGTAAGAAGCACATGCATGTGCATACCTCGGACAAGCCCTATATCTGCAAAGTGTGCGACAAGTCCTACACGCACCCGAGCTCCCTGCGCAAACACATGAAGGTAATTACCTCTTTATTAGCGGTCGGCGGTTTGTAAACACTCGGCCCGACGCCGGGCCGCGGAACGGAAGCGCCCGCGCTGCCCACCCTCTGTCCTCCACGTTAAATCCGATTTGCTCCAGCAGTGACACCTTGAACCCATTTTGGGGACCGGGCGGGGTGGGGGCGGGAGTGAGCAAAGTTGGGAGGGGGAGGAAGCGGAGGGAACAATCGGTTGTTTACTGGGAAGCTCTAGCCGAGCTCGCCTAGGCTTGCGGGACTGCCGTGGCCGCCTCTTCCCGACTCAGCCCGCGGTGGGAACCGAGAGTAGCCGCGCCGAACCCGGGGGTGGGTGGTTCATTCGCTCTTTGGCTTCGGATAAAACAATAGGGCCGAGGAGCGCGATCTGATTCCCACACATTTGTCTGCGACCTCGCAGCGCTCAGGGCCCCTGTGCCACCTTCTCTGTACCTACTTTCCCAAGCCGAAACGGGCTTGATGAAACCTGGGCCCGGATTTAGTATTTTATAGGACCTCACAGTGTAACTGCTTACCCCACTCCATCCGTGGAGAAAGCATTTTTGAAGTGGCATGACCAAAACGGAGTGCTTTATTCCTTTTCCATAATACCAGTCTTCGGAGCAAAACTGGTTTTTAGCGAACATCTCTGGGTTTTCTAGACATCGGTAATATGGATTTTTTTTTTTTTAAAGCAGCATTTTTCTTTTAAGTGGGTCACTGGGCGGTCTTGTTGTTACAGTGCTCGAATTCTGCTCTTGTTTTTGCTTGCACATTGCCAGTTGGAATTATATTCATTATAATATATACATGTTAATTTTAGGTTCATGAATCTCAAGGGTCAGATTCCTCCCCTGCTGCCAGTTCAGGCTATGAATCTTCCACTCCACCCGCTATAGCTTCTGCAAACAGTAAAGATACCACTAAAACCCCTTCTGCAGTTCAAACTAGCACCAGCCACAACCCTGGACTTCCTCCTAATTTTAACGAATGGTACGTCTGAGGACAAACACAAACCCTGTTAACTATAGAATGGACCAAATGCATTTTTAAAAGAAAACTGAGACCAATCAGATGGAAATGGAGTTTTAAGGCAAGAGGCCATATATAGGGCTACATCTTGTTAATTGCAATTGTCCAGGAAGGTTTTGGGCAAGATCCAAAAGTAGCCATGCCCTTTTCTCAGGATTAGAAAATATGTTTTGGCATTTGAAGCATTTTTTACAAAATCTTTACACTGCTTTTTCTTCCCCTTCCTCTTGCTGTCTGCACACCCCATTCTTAAACTCCTGCAATTCATTTTAACAGTTGTCCTGTTTCTCGAGAGGAAGTTATAGAAGGCTTGTTGGTGGTGGTGATGTTAAACTGATGGAAATTCTTTTTCGCCTTAGTGGTGATTGTTTAAACTCTCACAGTCTTAAACCGTGCCAAAGTCCTGTTATGTCTTGAACTTTTCCTCAAAGCATTATACTTGTGAATGTATTTTTGTCTAATAGGGTCGAAACTGTTGTTCAGTATTTTTTTCAGGCTGAGGATGTGATGTTACTCTACACAGATTGTGACGTTTAGTATACAGTTGCCTTTTGTAATAACTTTTTTTTTTGTAAATACATATCCATTGAGGCCATATTTATCGTTTGTAATTTAATTATTGCTACAAGTGCCGGGAACTGAACAATATTTATGGATAAATGTTTTCTAACAAGTTCTGTACAGCTTTTGATTATAACTGCTTTAGCATTAAAATTTTATTGTTTTGAAAGAAGAACACAATTTACAATTTTGGAACCACTGACTCCTTTCTCTTGTTTTGTAACAGCCTTCTTCTACAAAGAGGAGATGTGAGCAAATTAAATCTTGTTTGTTGGTATTTATAACTCACTCAGATCCCTTTTTTAATTGTTAAATTATTTTTCTATTACAGTATAAATTCCTTACAGTGTCAGTTTCCATCTGGGAAGACTCTCCTTTCTTTATCTCTATCTCAGATGGTTGTTTAACTGCGAGTTTAAATGTGTTTGTCCTGGATTTTCGGCATGCAAATCAAATATTACTGATCAATTCAGTTAGTGGCCATGACATCTCAATCTTGTACTTCAAAGACTGAGAAGCTGGATTTAATCATCCCTGCCCTACATATATAAACATAAGGTAACCTAATGAATTTTATGTCCCTTAGTTCTTTATTACCTTACATAAAAATGAAAATTGCGGCAGGATGCATGTCTGTGTTTTCTATCTAGAGATCACCCATATACCTATATATGTTTGTATCTATGACTTATCTAATCTATCAATCTATCTAGTAGCTATCTATATATTTTCAAAAGATAGCTTATGTCTGAAACAGTGTGATGAGTAAGGCCAGTTGAGCATTGCTTACTTATGGTTAAAGTGCTTCTTAAAAGAACCATAGTCCATTTACAATTTTGGAAGGCAAAGGCTGATTTGTTTGCTGTATATAGTTCATAATTATCGCAATTATCCATAACATTTATATAGCGGTGTAATAACTGCAGCAGTTCTGAAATGATGCTATGGAAAAAAATTGCAAAATATGTATTTTTAAAGTTCATGATTTGTAGGCAAAGATGTTAAGAGCATTGTTTCCATTAAAATCAATAACAATGAAAAACGGTTGTTTGCTTTGTGATGAAATGTTAACAATCCATTTAATCTTCAGTGAAGCAACTCCTTTGGACAAACAGTTCTTTTACAATGGTTATATGGAAAAGAAATTGATTGCTATTTGGGGGGGCTGGAGTGGGTAGAGTATTGAGACCTTTTTTATTAGGGTGCTGTTTGTTATTGAGCCCAATCTCTGCATGAATAACAGAAAGGTGGAGATAAGGAATTGTAAAGTATTTAGAAATGTATTGAATAGGCTTAAGTACCTCCTTTAAGGGGCAATGCTCTAGGTTTTTGGTGGCAGTCAATTTGGTATTATATATGATCATTTTCAATTCTAGAATTTTGTTTATTGTTCTTTTTGAAGAAATAAAGTCTTGGCACATCTTATTTATGTTATAACATTTTTGTATTTGGTGCCTGATTTTTTTTCATGTTCAAATAAATCAATCTGAAATTGAAATGTTTATAGAACTTCTGATGATTAAAAGAAACTTTGATTCTGTGAATTCACGCAGTTGAAGCAATCTATTTTAAGTTATCTACTGATCTTTGTCAACAGAAATTATTGACAGTTTCTAATTGCAAATTGCTTTGGAGGCTATTTTTTGTTAGTGGAGAATAATGGGGTCTTTTGCATTTTCTTCCACCAATATCCAAGCCTGAATGCCATGAACGGAGATTGGGATGACTCCACATGTGACGAGCAGGTAACCTGGTCAGTCTATCACTCCCAACCCAGACATTCCGATCTTGACCTTGACATTGAGGGTGCTGGACCAGATTCCTATTTCAGGTTTTTTCCTTCACCTCAAACCAGAGACCATTTTAAATGCTCAGCAAGTTCTCAGAAAGTATATATTCATAAGACTGGCTCTAAGTGTGTTCCATTGTGAAGTCTAAATAGTATATTTTTCTTCTGAACTGTACAATGAATTTCCATAATTTATCACTTTCTCCATGACTTCCCTCCCCCACCCTCAATCTAACCTAACTTTAAATGGAAGTAGAGCCCTGTGTTGGGTACAAGATTCCACCAAAAATTTGCCTCCGTTTCAATTAAATGTATTAAATATCTCCTTAAGAGAGAAAGAGCAGTTTGATCTTTTCTTACTTGAAATTATTCCACCATAAAATTTTACAGGAAAGTATTCTGAGTGTCCTAAAGGGGGAAGATATCAATTAAATGAAAAACAATTATGATAACCAATACTAGGAGAATATAAAGTTTTGCCCGTGTAGATCATTACATCTAATTTGGGTATAGCATCATATTTCTCAAAATCATGTCCTCCACCCTTGTCATTTGCGGTAAAGAAAACTCCTTATTTTGATAGAAAACTTTTCACAGATTTCCCCTCTATAATCTGGCTCTGGGAGTGCACAATTACATTCTTGAATATTCAGTAAACGACCTTAGAGAGTAAGTACCCCCCCGCAAAAAAAAACTCATAAATGCTCAAGCCCGAGGCATGGGCCAGACTCTTAGTATAAATCAACTTGTTACTTTTCCTCTTGCACCTTGTAAGATCTTTGTTGAAAGTCCCTTTTTCAAAATGAGTGATTTTGCATAAGAAGATTTCCACTGTTAGGCAAAAGGGAGGTGGCTATTTCCATGCAAGACAGAAGTTTGGCCTTCATCCAGCTTCGGAAGGTTAAAGATCAGGACAGGGTCCACGCTAAGCAGGCCGGTCGATCTAAATTACTAAAGTTGGACATGCGTGAGCAGAGACCTCCACTCACAAAGCCTCCCAGGAAAAGTTGGAGTGTTCAGGACTTCCTCGCTCCTCCCCCTTCTCCCTTCTCCCAGCCTGATGTCTCTGCCTCTTCGCCCTGGCTCTCTCCCCCCCTTCAAAAAAGCTCCCTAAAACAGAGGAGCAAAGTCGAAGGGCCTCTTAACATGTAAGTTTGTGGAAGAATCGCCAGCAGCGTGCCCATCGCCTGAAGAGATTTTCCTGGCACCTAGACTGGTTTTCTCTCACAGGTTTCTGTCCCTCGAGTCCCAAGCCTCCAGTGGATCCTTGGCCCGGGCTGGGGCAGAGGCGGCGAGGCCAGGCGTTTCGGAAGTCGGGGCTCCAGCTCAGCTGTCCTCGGGCCTCTCGCGGGGGCTCCCAGGGTCCCTGTCCACACACCAAGTTCTTGCAAGTCTCTGTCGAGGCTCGGGCGGGGGGAAGGGACCTCATTTCCTAGGGTCAATTCTCTCGCGGTCTCTGCCCGCTGACCCTTTGACCTCCACCTACAGGGCCCTTGGCGGCCGTAAGCCGGCGGTCGCCCAGGCTCTGAGGACGCTTCGCGCCCCATCGCCTCCCGGCCTCATTAGGCCGGCGGGGCTGTAAAGCAGGAATCAGCCTCTGCCTAATCCGGACCTGGGGTCAA